GAGAGAGAGAGAGAGAGAGAGAGAGAGAGAGAGAGAGAGAAAGAGAGAGACTGGGGAGAGAAAACGAGAGACAGACAGACAGACAGAAACACAGCAAAAGAAAGGAAATCGAGTGCCACAGCAATCAACATCGTTTCAAACCAAAAGCAAAATCCACGACTTCAGTCCGCATCCTCCTAACGCGCCCCCTGGTAGCGTCCGCAGCACTTACTTGGGGCAGTTGATGAGAAGGTTATCGGGGAGTTCTTCTAGACGGTTATATTCCACGTGTAACGTTTCTACGGCACAGTTTTCCACCCAGTCTGGCAGAGCCGATAGCTGGTTGTGATCCACATAAAGATGTCTGAGTGACTCCATGTTGCTTAGCAACCTGTAAACACGCGTACGCGTGAGTTTGAGTTAAGTTAAGGGAAGTCAGGTTAAGTTGAGTTAGGTTATGGTGTTGAGTTGTCAAGTCAAGTCAAGTCAAGTCAAGTCAAGTCAAGTCAACTTAAGTTAAATTAAGTTACGCTAAGTCAAGTTGGTTATAGTTACGGTTAGCGTTCGAGTATTACACCATAGTCAGGTAAGTTTTAATCAATGCTAGCGCCAAGCGCGACGTCATGACTGCGCGACCGTGGCGCCATCTACAGACCTGTTTGGCAGGAGAGTGAGTCTATTGTGACTGGCGTTGAGTTTCTCCAGTCTCCACAGGTCGCACACCCAGTCAGGCAGCTTCCCTAACTCATTGCTGAAAACAAAAGAATAATAAATAAACGTAGCAGACGAACTCGTGCAATGTAACAATAGAACAGCCAGCAGACGCTCGTGTAACAAAAGAACAGCTAGCAGACGTTCGTGTAGCTAACAAGAGAACAAAAAAAAGGTGCTCGTGTAGCTAACAAGAGAACAGCAAGAAGGCGCTCATGTAGCTAACAAGAGAACAGCAAGAAGGCGCTCATGTAGCTAACAAGAGAACAGCAAGAAGGCGCTCGTGTAGCTAACAAGAGAACAGCAAGAAGACGCTCATGTAGCTAACAATAGAACAGTAAGAAGGCGCTCATGTAGCAAACAATTGAACAGTAAGACGATGCTCATGTAGCAAACAATAGAACAGTAAGAAGACGCTCGTGTAGCAAACAAGAGAACAGCAAGAAGACGGTCATGTAAGAACAATATAACAGCAAGAAGACGCTCATGTAGCATCGAGTATCCTAAGATTTCCTCTACCCCTCTAAGAGAGCGAGAGAGAGAGAATATATATATATATATATATACTATACCTGAAGGACTGGAAGGCTTGCGGAGTGACCTGTAGCATGGAGTTACACGACACGTCGAGATGTTTTAGCTGTGAAGCCATGATGTTCGACACGGACACCTTGTGCAGCTGATTGCATCCCACATCCAGCACCTGTAGTAAACACCGCAGCAGATACAGACACGTAAATACACGTAGACAAACGTACATACAGAAGTACAATCATATATACGTACATACAGACGTAGATATATACACGTAAATACATGTAGAAAAACGTACATTCTGTCAAGTGACGTTGCCATGATGGTGGACACAGACACGTGAGACATATGTAACACATGATTGCTGTTCCAAAATCTCGTTGCTGTTCCATTGTTGCTCCAAAAGCTGTTCGCATATAGCTCGTATTTCACTCTATAGCCGACACGTTAAACATGCACGTACCTTCAGTGAGACAGCCTTGTAGAAATCCGGCAGGGCTCTGAGCACGTTGGAGTGCGCTCGCAGCGCCACCAGCTTGGGGAGCTGGCCGATGATGGGCGGAAGCTGATCCAGCCTATTACCGGAGATGTTTAACTCTTCTAGCACCTCCAGTTTACTCACAGCACTGCCGCAGAAGGGGGAAAAGAAACATGTTCATTAGTCATGTAGGTAGTTTGTTAATTAGTTAATTAAATTGCAATAGAATAGTAATTTAATTGTGTAATTTGTGAATCAGTTAATCAGTGGGCCAAGTACTCAATGAATGAGTTAATTTGTTATTTGTTAATTGCTTAGTTAGTTAATCTATTAACTAATTTAGTAAATGATTATATTAATTGACTAGTAAATAATTTCATTAACATTAGTTTAATTACCTACAAGCACTGCCACAGGGAGGGGGAAAGAAACATGTTCATTTGCCATGTAGGTAATTGTACTAATTGATTAATTAGGTTAGTAATTTATTTAGTTATTCCGTTAATCAGCTAGTCAAATAATCAGGAATACAGTTAATCAGGTAATTTGTTAATTTGTTAATTAATTGATTAGTTAATAAATCGATTAGCTAATTGATTGTATTATTATTATTTTTATTGACTAGTTAATAATTTAAGTAGTGAAATAGTCCAATTGCTTAATTTGTTGATTACCTTATTAATTAATTGGTAATAACACATGTAACATACCAATCATAATAACTAACAAAAGTAACATACCAACCATAATACCTATCACAGGTAATGACTACAACTAACAACTACAGGATAACAAACAATCATAATACCTATCACAGGTAATAACGACAGGTAATTAACCAAGCAAACTCCACGACAGATGGCGCTCTCGCTCATGGGCTCAATCTACCAATCATATCATATCATATCAATGTATCCTGAGTGTACGAAGGTGCACTGCATGCAGTTTGGTAACCAAGCTCACCTCTCGCTGATATTCTCCAGCTCGTTGTAGGCGAAATGCAGCAGCTTGAGGCGCTGGTATCCGCAGATGTTATCAAATGCGGGGTCGGTGAGGTAGTTAGAGGAGAGGTAGAGTTCTTGCACCTTGTTAAGATCGGCGACCAGGTTGAGCGGTGGAAACGTCCGCAGGCGGTTGTTGGTGGCATTCAGAATGCGCAGCCTAGAAAGTCACGTGCGTTATATACATGTATACATTAATGTGTGTGTGTGTGTGTGTGTGTGTGTGTGTGCGTGCGTGCGTGCGTGCGTGCGTGCGTGCGTGCGTGCGTGTGTAGGTATACATGCATATATGTATATTAGGTGAATAAATGTGTTTTTATCATTCGTTATATATCAGTCTCAACATATTAATTTATAGAACATTGAAACGAGTGAGGCAGAGAGAGAAAAGGGAAAAGAGAGCGTGACAGAGAGAGAGAGAGAAAGAGAGAGAGAGAGAGAGAGAGAGAGAGAGAGAGAGAGAGAGAGAGAGAGAGGAGAGAGACGAGACGAGACGAAGAACACGAAACGAAACGAAAAGGAAAAACG